TGGGGTAGTTATTGACAACTTACTCTTTGGGGAGGTTATACTAATTTAAACCACCCTGCCTCTGGCAATGTATGAGAGTGACTACCTGTTTTATAAATATCTTTGTTTACACAGTGTATTTCATGCCTTTTGATCTTTGCCAATCTGATAGGTAAAAGAATGGTATTGCATAATTTTAATTTACATTTTTCTTATGGGTAACACTGAACATATTTTTATGTGATTAATATCCATATGTACTTCCTCTTTAGTAAACTATCTTTTTATATCCTTTGCTCATTTTTCTATTGGACTGTGGGTCTTTTTCTTATTATTTTGTTGGAATTATTAATATATTAAGGAAATTAAAGCTATATATTGACAAAATTAGCCTGTTTCTATGATATGAGCTAAAAATGTTTTTTTTCACATTTTGATATTTATCTTTCAGTTAATGGTGTTAAGAATTTTTCCCATATAGTAAAATTTATCAATATTTTATAACTTTCAGGGTTTTGTTTACTTTTTAATTTATTTATTTTTTTTAAAGATTTTATTGGGGAATCGGGGAAGGGGAACAGACAACTTGCTGTCCTTTTTGTTCTTCAGTCTAGGTGTGGAGGACGTCGCTTCACTGGCCCATGTATGTATTATCATAGTGCTCTTCCAGGCTGAGGCAGATCGGTTGCCGGCCACTGGATGGCCGCTCACGGCGGCTCTTGGCAGCTCACGTCAGCTGCCAGCCATTCACAGTAGCTTATGGCAGCCCACTGCAGCGGTGGCTGCAGCCTATGCCGTTGCCGGTGACTCATGGCAGCCCAGCTCCAGGTTGAGCTGTTGTTCACCATCTTAGCTGTAGAGGGCATAGTATCACTGGCCCTCATGTGGGATCCGAACTGGGGCCCTGCTGCTCAGAGCTGGCGTCCCAAGCCAACTCCTAACCAACATGCCACTTGGCCGGCCCTTTTGTTTACTTTTTAAATACCTATTTAATATTACATGTATGTATTTATATTCTCCAGGATTATCATATAGCACATTTATATGTAGAGTAATTGTTTTTCTCATTTAAATCTCTATTTCTTATTTTGGTGTAAGGTGAAGGGCATCCTATATAGATAACTTGAGGAGTTTTGTCTATGAGGAAGTATTCTCTTTTATTAGTGGCGTCTGGATTATAGCATATGGACATTTCCTATTAGTTTCTCTTCTATGGTGACAGAGTGAAGCCACCTGCTCTGTGGTGGATTAAGCAGCAAGGAGTCCTGATGGTGGAAATGTAGCTGGACATGGGACAACAGCAGTTTTCAGTTATGAGATTAATGGTAGTTACATAGGACTGGGTTAAGGCTGGGGAAGTTGCCAGAAAGTGGGGTTTGAGATGGTGGTGAAGACCACTTACAAAGCAGTCTCAGCACAGTCACAGTTCTAGGGCAAGCATCCTCAGAGGTGCATTTAGTACATGGAGAGCTCCAGAGAGCTGTGGTATTCCTGAAGGTTGGGGGTTCCTGTGGCCTTTTCTCCTGGAGCAGCTGCAGAGCACTGGGTTGACTATGTTCCTAGACTTTAAAAGAGGGACTCCAGTGTATTTAGTGCAGTGGTTCTCTACCCTGGCTACTGCCTTCGTGTCTACTAAGAAGATTCTGACTTTACTAATCTGTGGAGGGATGGGGGGGGGGGAACCCCAGCAACAGCATTTTGAAAACTCCCCAGGTGCTTCAGATGTGCAGCTAGAGTTGGGAACTACTGTTGAATGCAATCAGCTTGCAGTCCCTTTGAGTCAGGGATTGCCATGCATGCTGCCTCCGTGCTTCCAGGCAGGCATGGAACTCACCTGGGAGCCTGCTAAATACAGATTCCGATTCAGGAGGGCTGAGGTGGGGCTTGAGATTCTGCACGTCCAAAAAGCTCCCAGGGTGGGTTGAGGCTGCTTTTCCCCAGACCACACTTAAGTGGCGTGAGCTGGTTATTCAGTGTGCAGAGTGCTGGCTTACGCCAGCCCACATGAGTCAGTGAGCACTTTCCTGCCATGGTCCAGCTCTGTGGCAGAATTTGCTTAGTGTAGTAGGACACTGGAGTCAAGAGATCTGCTTTCCACTTCCAGCTCTGCACCTAATTAGCTTCAAGACAAGCCTCTTTAACGTGCTTCAATCCTTTACCCTGTCATCTCTGAAATGGGACGACTGAACTGAATAAGCTATAACGTCCCTTTTGTTCCTGCCTCCTCCCATGCAGGTCCAGGGTGTTTTTCATCTCCATGGGAACCAGGTTTTTATGCGGAATGGCAGTCTGGATTCTGTACTAAGGATCCTAACTTGCTAGATTATTTTTAAATTGCAGACTGTCAGTACTTTTTCTCACAAACACATAGTACTATGGTTTTATTGTATGTAGTAAATCTTTTATATAATCAACTATCGATGATCTACCATCACAAGAGTGATGATAATAATATGGTAACAAATCTTCTAGTTTTAAACTAATAAGCACCAATATATGTCATTTAATAGAAGGATTATTTTGGTTGTAAGTGACAGAGAACCCAGCCCAAACTGGGTGAAGCAAAGTAGGGACTTTTTGGGATGATGTAATTACAAAATTTGAGTGTAGAGTTAGCTTCAGGTATGGTTGGTGTAAATAGTGTAATCAGGATCTGGACTCTGCATCTCATGGCCTTGTTTTCCTCTGCATTGGCGTCATTCTCAGACTTCATTTAATTACATGGTGGCTGCCAACACTGCCAGGGCTTTATCTTTCTGGTTCAAATCCAGTGAAAAAGAGAACAGCCTTGTACCCCACCCCCTACCCCAAAGTCCTGAATCATATCTATTGGCTCTGATTGGATGATTTGCCCTCCTGAGTCTCTGAGGCCAGCAGGACTGGTACCCTGATTGGTCAGATCAGCCTCCTGTGACTATTTCTAGAGCTGGGGGACCATGTCCACACTGACAGGGGAGAAGGGAATAATTCCTTAGTGGAAATTTGGCTACTATTTCTAAAGAAGGGGGAATGGATACTTGATGTAAAAAAGCAACAACAACAGAAACTGCCTGTTTTTTTGTCCATGTAAGCCAATATTAAAAGTCATTTACATTGTCTAAATACAAAAATTTCAGTGGTAGAAGGCCGTCAGGGGGTATGTTGTGTGGTTGGATCATATAGAACTGGAATTTAAAACAATGATTCAATTTACAAATTCAGAACCTTAATGAATTAATAACAGATGGTAGTATTGGATACCTGATTGCTTACTTTACAGGCAGGAATAATATTCAAAATCTTTAATAGCCTGTGGCAGTGGCATCAATCAGTCAAAATGAGTTGGGTCCAGCCAACCAGAGCTGCGGCTAACCACTCCCAACCAGCAGGGTCCCTGTGTGGGTGCTGGGAAGATGTTAGCCCAGCTACCTGGGAGGCATTGTAAAGGTCCCTCCATATTTCTCAGAACATATGGTTTTTGTATTAGTTTCCTAGGGCTGCCATAACAAAGAACCACAAATGGGGTGTCTTAAAACATAGAAATTTATTTTCTCGTAGTTCTGGTGGTTGGAAGTCAGAAATCAAGGCATCTGCAAGGCCATGCTTCCTCCAAAGTCTCTAGAGAAGAATCCTTCGCTGCCTCTCCTAGTTTCTGGCAGTTGATGGCAATCCCTGTCATTTTTTGGGTTGTAGATACACCGATCCAATCTCTGCCTCTGTCTTCCCGTGGCCTTCTCCCCTGTGGGTCTGTGTCTCTGTACCCAAATTTCCCTCTTCTTATGAGGACACCAGTCATATTGGATTTAGGGCCTACCCCATGTAGTTACCTAAAATCAAATGCTCTAGCATAGTTGGCATGACACAAATTGTAAAATATATTCAATATTAAATTGCTCACAAACACTATAAAATTTTTCTTTTCTTGTTTTTTCGTTAAAAACTAGATTTTTGAATCTTAGTAAAAGTATTTAAGTGAATTGTGAATTGTTTTGTTGGAAATCTATTCTGTATTTTCTTACTGCATCAGATTAAGCAACTACATCTTTCTTAATTATAATTGTTTTAAATATGTTACACTGTGAATGTTAGTATGACAATTTGGTGGATAATTAATAATTTTCATTGATATGTGAGTATGTTTGTGCATGAGGAGGTATAATATTTTTACACATGACTTTATTGAATTCAAACAAGTTTTGAATTAAAAAAAAAAAAGAAACTGACCACAATTAAATGAACATCATCCATTAGTGTATTTAAGAGAAAGTGTAAGAAACAGGAGAGAAATGCAACTGGTGAAAGGATTGGATATCATCTTTTTTAAAGAACATTTGAAAATTTGTCTTCGACTCTTTGAAGAATGGCTCTGTGGAAAAGAGTTTAGATTCCAGAGGGTAGAACTAGAACCAATGAGTTAAGGCTAAAGGGAAACATTTCAATACAATGTAAGAAAACGTTCTCAAGGAACAATGTTCCATGTATGAAAATGGAGGTGGCAGTCGGGTAAGGGAGTCAAGTGTAGATTCCTGGAAATGCTCAGGTAGGTACTGCGTAATTCCCTCCCTGGGACATTTTAATGGAGATCTTGCCTTGAACAAGAAATTGAAATAGAGATTCCCTTCCAATTTGAAGATCTGTTGCAAGTCCTCCTAAAATTTCTCTTTGTATATATGTCATGAAAATCAATATTAACTATTTGACAAAATATTTCTATAAGTTGACATGTATTTTAGCAGCTGTCAACCTAAAGCTTTGCTCTATGACTTCTGTTTTTGGGAAAATGAAAGTGGGAGGATTTAGTCTAAGAAAGAGAACATCATTAATAAATGAGAAAGGTAGGGGATTAAAACTTCTATTTACTGAGTACCTACTATGTACAGGGATATTGGAGGAGTTTCTTTATCCATATTATATCATCTCATTTAATATACTTAGTTTTTCATTGTTTGGTTTGGAACTTAGGAGAAGCTGTAGTTCTTAGAATGACGAATTCTTAAAATAATTGGCATTTTCTTGTGTATTCTTTGGTTAATGGAACACAGGACTGTTCTGATGGCTACATGTGCAAAACGCATTTTCAAGTTAAAGATGGGACAGCAGTGTCACCTCCAGGATCATCTGCCCATGTACAAATGTGTCTTCCCATGGAGGTGAGTGATTTAACATTTCATATTCTTCTTTTCAGTCTCTGTGAAGTATAACTTTAAATATGTAAATCTGTTAAATATATATTTTTAAAAATTAACTGCCATTGGATCCTGGGCCTACTGTTGGGGGAGAAGTGAACATTGTTTGTCAGGAGGTATTTTCTTCTATAATATTGAAAGCAGGAATTGTGGCAAACTTGAGATCCATTCTGAGTCTGTATTGAGTGCGGTGAGCTTTCACTCTCTGGGTTCTCTGGAGCTGAAGACCACAGATGCCTTCCATTGTCTGCTGACTTTTCTCCCGTGAAATGTCCCCAGGATAGCACAGACCTATCCCTTGACTGCTTAATACCTGGCTGGAGACCTCTTCGCCTAGTCTGTCTTTGACTCTTTTCCCCCAGGCTCTTTAAGATGTGTTAGACCTGGGTCTCATTCCTTAGGGGACTTTAACCTTGACTTGAAAATCTTGCTAAATTACATTTTGATAAGGTGATAATGGCTTAGTGGTTTTCTGGGATATTTTCAATTTAATTTTTATTGAAATGCAAATAGCCTTATTGTATTTGTTATTATTAACAAAAAATGTTATATATCTGTTGTAAAAATAAACAATAGAGAAATATATAAAAAGAGTAAAAAAACTCCCATATAGCCTTCAACTGGAAGTAATCACTATTAATATTTTAATAAATACCCTTCCACAAATTTCTGTCATGTACACACACAGACATACCTGTATTTTGCAATGAACCTGTATATCATGGGCATCTTTCCATGTCAGTAGATGTAGCATTCCATCATTCTATTTTAATGGCTCCATTTTATTCTATCCTATGGATGAACCATAATTATGTGGAGCCCATACTGAAGTAAAATACTTAAGTTCTAATATAGAACTGGTGGGGATTTAATTGCTTCAACACAAAGAAAGTAATCACTAATGCTTAAAATTCTGAGAATCCTGATAAAATGGGTGAGGAGACATTTTTTTTTTTTTTTTGCAAAGAAAGAGCTTTTGCTCAGGATCTATTACATCAGATCCATTTGGCAACCTGGCACTAGCCCTCTTTGCCTGGGTATGATGCTGGCCTGGAAGTAACTCTCGCCAATGTAATTTGGTTTGCAAGTTATTTTTGAGGGTATTGTGCTTGGTAGTAAATGAAGTGGCCCCGGTGGGTGCTCAAATCTTGATTACTGCTTCATGGTTCAAATATTAAATCAAATCTGAAGCCTAGCATGTTAGGAAACTTTCAATTCATTATATATTAACTTAAAAAATGCACATGGAAATGATGATTTAAAAGATGAATTACCAGCTTTTGCCTAACAAGTTGGCAGAGATTTGAAAAGCACTAAAAAAGTGGTGTTGACAGTATGAGGGAACTGACACTTTCTGGTTGATGTTTTAACTTCACAAAGTTTAAAGATGAGTACATACTATGAACAATCTATTCCAATTCTAGGAATTAAGCTTCATAAAATATAAATTTTTCCAACATTTTTCATTTTCAACACTTCCCAACAAGTTTCAAACATATGAAAAATGTTGAAAGAATTTTGCAGTGAACAATCACGTACTCATCACTTAAACTCTACTATTCACATTGTGCTATGGTTGCTTTATTGTATGTATATCAGTGCCTCTATGCATCTATCCATACACCTTCTTTTCTGGTGCATTATTTTTACATCAAAGTAAATTGTCAGCAAATAAAATAATTATAAATGTGCACCAAGATTTACCTGCAAGAATATTCATTTCACCATTATTTATAATAGGAAAAAATGGAAACAACTGAAATATACAATAGTAATAGATTAGTTCATTATGGCAGGTCTCTATGATGGAGTTTTTTTATTCAGTGGGTCTGGAGTGGGGCCTGAGAATATGGAGTTCTAACAAGTTTCCAAGTGCTGCTGCTGCTGCTGCTGCTGGTCTAGAGACCACACTTCGAGAACCACTGCACTGCTCTGTAAGAGAATGCTTACCATATTTGAGATGCTGCACAGCTGAGATGGTTAGTTAACTTGATATATGATAGAGCCAATATTGCAGGAATCTTGCTGGGATGGAAAATGTCCTAGGTTGAGCCTGAGATGGAGACTTGTGCTCAAGTAACTTATTAGGAATGTGCTCTTAGGAAAAAGGGAGCGATAGAAATAGAACAAGGGACGAAAGCTAAGGAAGAATGTGGTCTCATTGAGAGACTAACTTTCGTTCCCTGGGAAGCTCTGGAGCACAAAATATATCCAGGATTCGTCTTACTTTGTGTTCTTGAGGTGGCCTTTTGTACTCTGTGACAGTCACAGGCTTGTCAGTCAGCCATTGGCTGAACTGAAGGTGGACATAGCTTCCCAAGCAAGGTGGTTCCAGTGCTACTGAGAAATTCTTCAAAGAGGGCGGCTGTGTGTTATCATCCAACAGTCACAATAGCTGTGTAGGAATAGGTGCACCAGCTTTAAGGTGACCTGAGTGCAGCACCCACAGCATTCACTACCAGATAGTAACCTGACACCAACAAAATGAGATCTATGGAGATATATATGCATAATGTCTGCATTTAGATGAAAAGAGGGAGGCTTGACATGACAGCAATTTGTATGAGAAAGATTTTACTTGACCATAAGCTCAAGATAAGTGAAAAGAATGCCATGGATACTAGAAAAGCTAGAACCTAAGTTACATTAATTAAATGGATCCCAAATATGGTCTGGCGACTCCTGGGGGAGAAAGTGTCCCAGAGATGCTTTCAGGGTGTCCACAAGGTCAAAACTATTTTTATAATAATATTAACATGATATTTACACTTTTTACTCTCATTGTCCCTGATTTTTCCAAAGGCTATCTACCTGTGATATTGCAACAGATTGAATACAGAAATAGTTAGGAGAACCCACCTGTCTTCTATTAAGCCAGACATTAAAAAAAAAATTGCAAAAATATAAACCCTTCCTAATTAATTTATGTTGTTTTGGAAATATATTTATTTTTCATAGAAATATGTTATATTAATATGTATTCTTAAATGAGTTAATCAATATTTTTAAATTTTTAAATTTTAATTTTTAATGCAGTGAATATCAATAGATATAACTCTCTGAAACAAAAGCTCATTGGAATACTCAGTGAATTTTAAAAGTGTAGAGGGGTCCTGAGACCAAAAGGTTTGAGAACCACTGAACTAGATCAAGGAACATTACATTATTACATGTGAAGAAGAATATTGATAACAAGAATACATAGTAAATGAATACATAAGTAATAGTATAAAAATGAATTATAAATACAATTCATTCATGTAGAGAAACATGCCAAGGGCCATGGGTGGACTTGAAAACATATTATTATGAGGGATATTTGGAGACTCTGGGGATGTTAAACTAGAACTGAAGACCTAGGAAGGTTAGCTGTCTTCAGATGTATCTAGAAGGCTGGAAGAGAGAGTAGTCTTACATTGTTTCTGAGGATAGAACTAATTCGTGTCTGGAAATTATTCTACACAAATCTCTCTAATGTTTAGAGTTGCCTGCGATGAAATAGGTCAATTTATAAAGCTGTAAGCTTTCTTCCCTTTCTTGGATATGTTAATCCACAGAGTGGAGAATCCTCTTTCCAGAATAGTGGTCCCCCCACTGAAATACTCTGATGCTTAAAGCATGCGGCAGATGATGAGTGAGTGCAGCGATGGGCGCTGTGGAGAAAGGGCCAGGGCATGACTCATCCAAAGGGGCAGCAGGCCTGCAGCCCCGGGGGGATTTTCAAGAAAAGGCAAGGATCTGGATTTTTCTATGTTGGCATAATTAAAAAAAAAAATCTATTCAGGCCAAATAGACTGTATCTATGTGCTTTAAATGGTCCTCAGTCCACCAATATATAACCTAGTTTCCAATATTTTACAAAGAAGAAGTGCTATATTGTGTAGAAGATTGAGCTAGAGGCCCTCTGGATTCTCTTTAGAACTTAAAGCTTGATAATTCTATATCTATAATATTTCATGTCTTACATCACATTTCCTATTTAAAGATATGCAAAAGAATGCCTGTGCTAATAGTTATTTCAGAATTTTTGTTTTTTTAAATTGGGTCATGTATAATTTGGGAAACCAACTCACTTCCTTGTTCTAACCAGATCTGGTAGTCTTGATTGTAGAAAGATGGCTGGATTCGTGATTTTTATGCCGGTGAGATTATCCACAATGGCATGTAGATAATAGTAGGATTTTCAAAATCAAAGTGAAATATAATGGAGTCTGTAACTGAAGTAATTTGTGAAAAAATATAATCTATATCTTCTTTGAATTTTTAAAATATAATTTAAAATAATAGTTAAAAGAATGAGATAATATTTAGAAATCTACTAAATATATTGGTGTAGCTTAGTCCTGGTTTTGAGGAACAGGAGTTCTTATAGGTTAATCATGTTAGATAGGGCATTTATTGTTGAGAGCAGTTAATGTGATTTGCTTGTGGCCTTTCAGAGGTTGTGAAATAACAAACAGGACTATGCCAATTTTTGAACAGCATCTTTTCTTCACCAGTGACCAAAGAAATCCATTGCCTCAATTTAAAATCATCTAAAATACAAATGAATATTTTCAACAGGGGCCAATGTAATCAACACTGGTTCTTGGTGTATTTTATTATATGGAACTCTTATTTTCATAAATTGATAATTGATGCTTATTTTATTTTTATATTGTTGAAGTGTGGCTTCTTCTGTCTGAGCTTAGATTACTGAAGTTCCATTTCTTCCTTTGAAGAGGTATCAGAGATGGGTATTGAGCATATTTTATTTATTCATTTACTATCTTCATTACTTTAGAGCCTCAGGTTACACCTTCAGATTACATTTTTTAAAACTATGAGAATGATAGAGTCATAAAAATAGCAATAGTATACTACTGGATAAAAAGAATTTTTTGTCCTAGGGCGTTGTAGTCCACTAACTGGGACTTTCCTTGGTCCAGGGTAGGTAGAATATTATAGTGAACCCTCAACAAAGA